ACGAAGCTAGACACCTCTCTGGCTTAAAGTTATTTGGATCTTCCCAGGACTCAGGATCTCTCATCACAGCATAAGCATTAAAGACAAGAGTTGTCTTCTCTGGAATGTGGAACCCTTTGATCTCACACCTTTCTTCGAATATCCTTGCCAGAAGAGGCGATGGTGGGTGCAATCTTAATCCTTCCTTAATCACCGCTTGCAAATAAGGAAGGTTTGGTAAATCTGTTTCTTGAATCAACCGGGACTTCCCTACAACCGAATCAATTTCGTCTCTCAATCTTTCAAGAACATTGGGGTTATTAATGATCTCGGCCATTGTCCACTGTGTTGTTTGCACTGACGTATCAGTGCCTCCAACGAATAACTCCTACAATAAGAAGACTCTAAACATTTATAAGTAATTTTGACTTGGTTCCTCAAATTAAATCGACATAATGAGAAGAACATTTACCACAAAAAACGACTTGATATGATTCCTAGTGATCTTATACTCTGCATTTTCGTCTCCATAAGCCGCCAACAACACATCCATCATATCTGCGCCTCGATGATCCTCGTCCACTTTGTCTTTGTGTTCCACAAGAATCCTCTCTAGCAGCTCGTTGAATCTGTTGGAGACACTCATTATATCTTTCTTGAATCTTCTCAAGCGGTCTCCGCAGTATAACTGCCAAGAAAATCTTCTTTGTCAAGGCATATGATTCCTCTACCAAACCCCTGATTTTCTTTGCCTCACCGTTCTCCTCTGAAAAACACCTTCCCATGATCATTCTACACAAGATGTTGTTCATGAGCATCATCGCTTCTTTACCGATCTCAATGTTCTCATTCTTCCTCGACTTATCAAGAATGCTCCCGTAAAACCGTTGCAGCTCTTCAGCACGAACATTTCGAGACCGCTCTAGCGCCTGCGGTCGGAGCAGCTTAGTGGCCATGAGCTTCTTCATGAACTTCCAGTAAGCTCCATAAGGAGCGTTGACAATGCCAAAAGACCCAAACACAAGGGACTCATCGATCGCAGGAGCACCACGAGAGGAGATATTCACGTCGTGGGCCTTAAAGATCTCGTAGGCCATAGAGGCCGAGGAGACAAGGATGACGGGGACGTTAAAGATCCGGATATGGAGGAAAGGTCCATACTTGGAGGAGAGTTTCTGAAGCGACTTATGGGTTAGAGCGGAGAGTAGAAGGTGAAGATGACCAATGATCGGAAGAGAAGGAGGGCTTGGAGGCAGATCACAGCCTCGCGAGTCTTTTGATTTCTT